CTTTCATTTCTTAGGGGATTGACTTGAAACTTGGTAAGGTATACCATGGTCCAATACACCCTGTCCTCCAGTGGGACAGCGGTAAGTTGGAAGACTTACAACGCTATAATCCGGGGTCGATTCCCCGCGATGGACATAGCAGATAGACCAAGATGGCTTTGCTCTAAAATAATCAACCAATCCAATACGCCTATACAACTTTTTAATTTTTTCATTTAGGGCTTTTTAAGGATTTTATGGGGTCAAACAATGCATATTTTGGGCTCTTGTGTAGTCATATTTACATCAATCAAGATGAAAATTGGCACAAATATAAAATTTCACAACACATTGACATACAAAAAAGTTGGATTTGACCATATTGAGTCTTTTTAGTGGGGCCAGAGTTAAAAAACAAAGCATAGTTTTTGGGTTTGGTCAATTACTCGACCAATTTACATTAGATTTGGTATAAAGATATTTTTCTATAGAGTCCATACATACAAAAATATGAGATATGCTTATTTTTAGCAATTTTAGGGAGTCGAAAGCATAATTTCAGGGGTTTTGGTCCACTTCTTGGCCATATTTCGACCAATTTACGTGGGATTTAGTACAAAGATTCCCTTTGCATGTTTCAAATAGAGATATACACAATTTTGGAATTTTCATTTTTTGCTCAATTTTCCAGCGAGGAAAGCACAGTTTGGGGTTTTCGTGAACTATCCATGTGTACGTCAACCAACTTACATAGTATTTGACAGAAAGATACCTTCTTGCAGGTCCCAAGCAGTAATATAGAAAGTTTTAGATTTCTCTCTGTTTTCACGATTTTCCATATTTGAGTTACTTGGCGGAGACATGTTGCATTCACCAGCGAATGTTGGCCACTTTAATTTTATATCCTAAGCATATATCATTATTTTTTCAAAAACCAAGTATTGAATATACTATACTGAATTAGGCCTAGCACAAGGTTCGTTTCCCTGTGTACTGACCGAGTGTTTTGCCATATCACCATGTTGCAATACCCTTTAAAACAAATATAATAATAGTAGAGATGGTTAATCTGATAATTTATTCATATCTATCAACAAAACACTTAAAAGGGAAAAAAAAGAGAGAGTTGGCTGAAATGTATTTTATGTTGCTCAGAGAAGACGATAATGTGCCTTCTTGACTCTCTGTAAATTTCTCAAACAAAAAATAATAATAAATGCTTGGAAACCATTGAAAGGATACTAGCTTAAGAACAATGATCAAAATGAAAATGTATTATTCACACTTTCTTTGGCACAGCATCTACTTCTTCAGATAATTATTCCAAGTTACCGCTTACAAATCAATATGATGGTTGAAATCGAAGAAGTTTCTTATACTCAGGCAACAGTTTGGTGTTCTTTGTTTGAAAGTTTTTAGAATGTTAGAACAACACTGCTGCAGTCGAGATTTTCATATCTTTTGTTGTACAAAAAAAAAGCATCTACCTATGTTCAGTACCTGTAACTTTGACGTTCCTCAAATATTTCGGAGACGGGGCTATCTTAGTGTTTTTCTTTTCTCTCTCTTGAAGACAATTAATTAATCGTTTCAAGTACACTCTTAGGATAAATGTTCAAGTTTCGTTAGCTCATAACAGATAATTCATATTTCCGCAGTTTTGTGACATTTTTATAAAACAAAAGTCACTCTAGCAACAGATTCATTCAACGGTAATCGAAATTTAATGATGAACAGTAGAACGACGTCAGCAACAAGAACATTTGATGAGTGTGTGTACAGTAACAAACATTTAATTATTGAACGTTTCGGAATATACACATTCCATCATCAGCAAGGTATATTGAACATTGTGAATAAATAGATACACAATTTTATAAATTTTAAACATTTTATAAAAAGTAATTAAAATACGGAATAAAAGGATGAAGTAAATTAGAAGACAACCAAATAAACAATAAAAAATTGGATTATGCAACAATTATAACAATATTATACAACTGTTCAGAAGAGGCTTAATTGTAACGAAGCTGTGTTATTCTTTAAAGTTAGGAGTTAATTTATAATAGATAAATTTTCTTCAGTTAAAAGTTCAATATTGGATGATCCAGATGAGATGACTTTGAAATTCGTAATCAAGATGGGGTAGTTGTTGTTTTCACTATGTGTGAAAATCGTGGAGGTTGGTGGTATTTTACCAGTTCCGCTTGAGACCCCCATATGTTCGCAAGTGTAATTGGCGTACGGTTTTGCCAGTGTACTTGGCATTATAGCTACCACATGTGTATTTATATACGATCCAGGAACGCATAAAGGTAGGTAATAGGTCTTTAGATCTGAATGGATTTTATATTTTTAAAGGTGATTCAAATATCATTTGTAGCTTAACTGTGGATAGAACGTTTTTAATTATTTAAAAAAAAATTGTGACTTCACTATGAAACTTTGCTTACCTAAAAAAGGAACGATCAGTCTTAATGGATATTTGTCAACAGCGTATGGTTTCCTTGGGGGTTCAAATTAGTGAGAAAAGAACTTGCGTGTTAGGGCTTGAATAAAATGCAAGGAATAGCCGTTGGTTATTAGAATGTTCTGTAAGGTGGTGATTTCGGTGTGAAGAGAGAGGTAGTTAGAACATATGTTATCTGTTCTATTGAGAAGACTGAGTATAACCATAAGGTTCCATTTAAAGCAATTCGGAATAAAACTGTCGAATCGAGTATGTAAGCCTGTATATGTTTTTACGATAAACATATGTTGTGAAATGGTTATCTAATCTGCTGATTTTGATATCAAGAAAAGGCAATTTACCATAACCTTGACGTTGATTTTAAAAGAACCCGCCAACGAAAGAACAATGTCACAACATGTTAAAAATGTGAAGAAAAATTGGTCATAAAGCAAATTTACTTATTATATTGGAATGAATATTGAATATTGGAAATACAATGAACTACATTACATATAGAAAGATCAGATTGGATTTTTGCTTCATTAAAGTTTTCTTTTGTATAGATTCGTAACACAAAAAGTGTATTAACCATAAATTAAAACAATCTCCATGTCATGAATTATAATAACGACCATGACATAGTTAACCTACAGTTGAAAGTTTTGATTAAACACCTACCAATACATAGTGGATAACTATAACTTAAGAAATATGCTTACGATGAAAGCCCCAATTTGATGACTTTGATCTAATCTCTTTTGGTGCTAAAGTTACTCGTGCACGTGATGACAGGAAGCCATTCGTTAACATCATGCTGAGCAAGCATTCTTTTCTAAATCCCTTATAACAAATATTGTTAGTGTCTTTAAGACGTAATCTCGTTTCCTTTAAAATACTCACATAAGCAGTCTAAATTACTGATGACATTTAAGCTATGCTGTCAAATCAAAGTTACACTTCTTTTTAAATTTTAATTGGCCTTGGTGTCGTCAACTGTTCTCTGTACAATGCGCTATAAAAAAATCAGTTTATGAAGGATGATAATTAATCTTAGTGAAGCTAAAAGTCTATAATTACACGTGATTAATTGATCAAATAGCGACATGAACTCTGAATTTTCAACCTCAAAATTAAACTGGCTTATTACAGTGCATTGAGCTTAGAACTGAAACAAAAAATTAAAAATGTTGAAAAAAAAGGGGGGGGGGAGAATATAAAAATATTGCAGTTATAATGATAAAATATGAATATCAATATAATTTTATCTGAAAACTATAACTAAACGTTTTACTTTAATTTGCGACTATATTTCCCAGTGATATAACTAGCACTTCTAAGATATGTTTAACGTACTTTAAAAATAGAGAGAGAGAAAACAACAACACGTAAACATTCAAAATAGTCTAAAGGCAGCACAAGAAAGGGACAACACGCAAGGTTAAAAATTCCTAGTTGTGTTTAAATACAATTCTCAGTTAACTGTATTGCGTATTATATGAAGGAAAATGTATATTAAATGAAAGTTATATTAATTAACAGCATTCAAACAGGCACATCGTTATTCAGAGGATTTCACACTAATTAGGGTGATATTTTTCTTGCTCTAAGGAAGCCTAATTACGGTAAGAATTAATGAAATGGTTTTGCTTGGAATGATTCTGTTGTCAATAAACCCCTAACTTGTGTGTGCTATCAAGTAAAAATCGAGCTTCCAAATAACACAGCGAAACTTTTTTCAACTCGTCTTGATAGCATATTGATGATTTTTAAAGGCTTTTACGTGTTTGGATTTTCTCAATAATGATACTAAATAATTAGATTTTTCGTTGGGGTGGTGCTTAGATGGGAGTTACGTATTGTTTTAATTTTTAGTATAATAAAAGACGGTGCATTCACGTAAACTTGGTATCTTGGATAATATGGATACAGCCTTCCTCAAATTAGCCTTCGAACCCTAAATATTATAAAACTATGGGTTAATATATACACACATACATCCAAGCTTAATAATCAATACTATTTCTGTTAGATATTGTCTACAACAATTTAGAACATGAATACGTCAACAGTGTTATTAATCACTAATTTAATGGTAACTCACACCTAGTTTTTGTACAAAATTCAGAATAGGTAATATATCTAAACGTAATACACAACTGTTTCAAAGATTTCTATTTGAAAGTAGCCCAAAAATGTACTAGTTCACTCTCTATAAACCACATCAGGAGACAATTATAATATTTTTTATGCCAGATTAATGAAATTTATGGCCTGTCTTAGAAAAAAAAAGTATTATTGAAAAAATAATACGAGTATGGGTTTATTATCATCGCTACAGAGAAAAAAAATCACATTTGATACATTTAATAACATTTATTATCATCGCTACACACAAAAAAAAATCACATTTAATACATTTAATAGCAGTGGATGATGGGGACACGTCCGGAGGGAGGACGATGTGGTCACAAACTGATCAGACATACACCAGAAAGCACTTTGTAACAACTGAACCCACGCAAATTCTGAAAAAAGCCTGACACGTAACATAAAATCACAATGACTAGACATCACCTCTACCTAGTGAGAAAACCCAACAAAAATTTATAAAATGCATAAATATTTGAACCACTTGACGAATTTTTAAAAGACTGTTTTGTTTGTTTGTGTTTAAGCACAAAGGTATATAATATGCCCACCAAGGGTAACCAAAATAGATTTTTAGTAATAAAAGCCCTCAAGCTTGCCACTGAGCAATTTCCATCACAATGAATGAAATATAGAAACAGCATAGTTTCATGTTTTCTTGAGAGGTCCACGCCAAAATGTTTTCAGGCATAGACATACATTCTTGTGACAAACACTTAGCTCTTTTAAAGGTCAGGAGAAAGATTATTTCAAAACATTTTATAGTTCTTCAATCTAAACAATAACAAAAAATAAAAAGTTTTCTAATGTATATTTCAGTGCTTGCCTTTTCCCCATATAGAGAACATTTTCCAGAAGGAAAATCTGTCTCCTGAAGCGACGTTATTCTTAGATTCTGCGGGGCTTTCATTCACAGGTGGAGTTACTTTATGTCTAGAGTGTCTCTGTTGTTCTTCGCAGAGCGAAGGGTTAGAGTGACCAGATTGTGGGTCATCTCGGGTTTCCCTTAACATGTCAAGCACATTCTGTTCAGATTTCGTGACTTTTGCGCGTGTTAAAGTGAAACTGGGATTCGTAGACTTCTCTGGTTGTTGGCTTGCACCAGCCGAGCCACTAGATGGATTGTCGGACTGAATAGCATTAGGATCTTCCACAAAAGCTTGAGCAAGATTCCTACTGATTTGTTTCCTAATCGTTTTCTTCATGGATAAGTGACGTTCAAGGTGTCGTATGTCTTTTTCCGTTAATGTCTTTGTTCCATAACAAGCGCAATTGCTATTTTTATTGGTGTTATTTTTCTTATGTTCGGAAGGAACACGATTTTCATCCATGGGAGATTTGTTCTTCTTGTTTTTGCTTCTATTGTTTACCAATTTACAGTCTTCTAGCTTGTTCCTTCCATTACCATCTTCTGTTGGCTCAATGGAGTCTTCCCCAAGGATTTCACTGGGAATCCCTCCAAAGTCTCTTTTCTTCCTTCTGCTTCCCGGAGAATAGTCATAGACACAAACTTCTTGCATACTGTTAGACACTGGGTCTTTGTGAAGGTTAGGGAAGATGTCCCTGACGTGAGGAATGTTTCGATCCATGGTCGTCACCACAAGAAGATAAACTGGTACTAATATCGAAAAAAAAGAAAGAAAGAAATTTAAAAGACGGAATTATCAACAGTCTATCAACATTATTATAAAAAAATCTACAAAGCTAACGAATTGGTTGTAATAAGGTAAAAACAGTAAAAATTATTTAAATTACTTTCCCTTCCTTTGCACTTTACGTTTCAAACTGTAGTCATAAGTTTTGATGAAAGTTTTATATAAAATATTAAGTTATACAGAACAATTACAGAAAAACTTTATGCGTAAAAATTATTTTGTTCTGAAAAAAATAATTACTGTTTGAAGTAAATGTATTTGCATTTTACATGTATAAAAAAGAAAAAAAATATTTATTATCAGGAATCAATAAAACATTTCATGCCAATTAAGAAAAAAATCTTCATTTATTTCTAAAAGTTTGTTTGTTTCGCATAGTCGCACAAAGTTGCAGAAAGAATATCTGCCCTAGCTGTTCCTAATTTTGAACCGATAAACTAGAAAGAAGTCAGCTAGTCAACACTACCCTCCGCTCATTCTTTGGCTACTCTAATAAAACAGCAGGATTTGACCAATACTCTTATAATCCACTCATGGCCTCAAAGGGCGGAGTACGATTTTGCGGCAACGGGATGCGAATCATTGACCTTTGGATCCACAGTCCCGCACATTGGTAAATATGACACGCCCGGCAAATCTATAGAAAAAAAAGAAAACTACCACTATTATGAATAATCTAGTGTACAACCATTATTATGAATGTTGAATTATTCCCAGTTGGGTGGGTGAAGGTTTTGCTTGTATTTGGATATTCGCACAGAGCTTTTGAAAGGCTACACTAGCTGTCCCTAATTTGAACTGATACACTAGAGAGAAGGCAGCTAGTCAACAACACTCACCTCCTTAACTCGACGTAGTGATAAACTAGTTTATAACTCATGAATTCAAAAGTTTCCAGATAAACGAAGTTGTTCATAGTCCAAAAAAAAAAGAAAGATACAAATCTTTGAAGCATAATAATAAAATTACATTTAAGTAGGCCAAACACAAAGATCACTTCACTAGCGGAATACAGATGAATTATGAAGGCCATCAGAATCGTAGTTCGTGTTTAAACAACATGGATAAAGTACTTCAAAATGATAAATTCTAGGAAATAATTATAGGCATAAAGTATGTATGATTTAAAATATGTATTATTTTGACGAGGGCAACTTTTAATATACACGCAGGAAACACCGAAAACGCGAAACCTTGGTCCTATGTACAGGCGACAAGAGATTTCCAATGAAACATAACACCAAGAAACGAAAAGAAAAAAACCCTCGTGTGTTTAACAGTTGATTCAACACAGAGCTTTATTATTTCAGGAAAACAAAGAATTATTTAACACATTGAACACTATCGTAGACTTCCAAAAAAGAATGAATAGTTTTTGATGCTAAGTTTTAAAGCTATCTGAAATTCGTTACGATCTGTATAACACTATCATCCATACTATTAAATATGACACGCCCGGCAAATCTCTGTAAAAGAAAAGAAAAGAAAAAACCCCATTAATAAGAATAATCTACTGTACAACCGTTAATATGAATGTTGAATTATTCACATTTATTGGGGATTTATTTATGATGTATTCGAATGGATATGTAGAACAATCTATTGCAAACACAACTTATTCAGGTCTAATCTCATGATCTATCGCATGTAGGTGTTTCTACAGAAGGTTCACTTTGCTAGTTTAGCAGGATTTGCCACCTAGAACCTGTTCTTTTCTTACTATGGAAAAAACTTCAGACTGAGTAACACGCTCTCCAAGGTGGGCGATGTGGTGGAGAACGCCCAAAGCTGTGACCAAGAGAAAGAAGCCAAAGTTATCATAACCGGTTTTATTTTAAGGAAACAATACCCCAAGAAGTCAACAATTTTCTTTTAAACATTCACATTCATTGTTTTAATAGCTTTTGATTTCACAGGTCTGTGAATATTTACTTTAAAGTTGTTACACAGATCCGAGTAGAATTGTATTCAGTTATTTGACAAAACTCGGACGTTTTACAAAATATTTATTTTATTTTACTTTATCAGTCAAAACAAAAGCTCTCAGTCATATACACTATAGACGTTCAGTTATACAGTCAGAAGCTACTATCACCAGCTTTTCAAGTGGGCAGCAAGTTTCTGAAAACTGTGATCCTTCGAAAACTTACACCGTTTCTCACCTAACAGGGGGACAGAATGGATGCGTATACCAGATTTAGGATTCCATGAATGGCCACATGCTACATAATGTACAAAACCAAAATTACTCTATAGTGGGTTGAACATCACCAGATGGCGTTAATAAATACTGTTTGTTGTTGTTACTTATCACAAAGCTACACAAAGGGCTATCAGTGCTCTGCCCACCACGAGTATCGAAACCCGATTTCTAGTGGTATAAGTCCACAGACATACCACTGTGCCACTGGGGGGCAATACTGCTTGTTTGTTTTAATTAAGCACAAAGCTACACAATGGGCTATCTGTGCTCTGCCCACCACGGTTATCGAAGCCCGGTTTTAAGCGTTGTAAATCCACAAATATGCTGCTGTGTCACTGGGGGCAAAAAATACTGATTCGAAATTACTGTAAATTAGGGTTCAAAGGATTTTTGTGACATATTCGAGTTACGTAATTTAAAGTTAATTCGCAAGGTCTGTTGTTGTGTAATTCTCGACATACAACACGAAAAATAGTTAAAAAATTAAGCAGTTTAAAGAAACAAATTTGGTAGTACAAAACAAGAAAATCTTCTCATTCATCAGTTGTTTTAATTTACCCAGTAACAACACTTCACACATTCTAATATTAATCATTTTTAGAGCTGCAAACACGAAGTTTAATAAATATGCTCGTACGTAGGTAAATTTGGCCACAATCATAGTCGCCAGTCTTCACAGTAGCTGAAAAGCAGTTCTTATTTTGTTCTATTTTATATTATTTATTGAATTACTGAAATGAAGTAACTTCTCATTTAATAGGTGATTAAAACAATAATCTTCCAAACACTATCTTACAAGATGAACTTTGAATCAAGCAAGCAAAGTTCGCTGTTATTATTTTCTTACTGAAGCACAAGGATAGCATTTCCAATAATGAGTAGGTTTTACTGTATAATCTGAGGAATTATCAAATGTAACTCGCATTAGAGTTTGAGGCTTTCGTTCGTTTTTACAAGAGATAATCTTCAAATTTTTACTGTATGTTTCGGCTTTGATAAAAAGGGAATTTAAGAATTAAAAGCTGTTTTTAATATAACTCATATAGTTCCAATATTGAAAACTCCTTTATACTCTGAATGAATCATCTCATTTCTTCTTTTCAAAAAAAAGCAACCCTATACGTACTACATAAAGATCGTTGTGATAAATTTGTTTCATAATTACGCACTAAGCTACAAAAGGGTTACCTGTACAGTAATTTTAAAGTGAAAGTCTAGAGGGAAGTAGCGCTTTAGCCCCAGTAACAACCATGCACTATCAAAAATACTGTCGAAGTTAATATTTGGTTTGTTCGTTTACTGGATTTTGCGCAAAGCTACTTGAAAGCTATTTGCGCTAGCCGTCCCTAATTTTGGTGTGATAAAGAGATAGCGACCTAGTTAATAGGTTCCATCGTCAACTTTTGTCTGACCAAATAGTGGGATTTAGCCGTCACTCTTATAACGTGCCTATTTCCTAAAAGTGTGGTGTGCGTTTTTCCGACAACGGGCCGCGAATCCACAGTCCGAGTACACTAACAACAAGACACCGCCTGATCGAAATCAATAAATGACACGAGGGTGAAGTTTGTAAACTCTTTTTTTTTAATGTTCGTGTTGTGTTTTTATCGTTTATGGCAAAGCTACTAATGCTATTTGTCGACGTACCTAATTTTGAACTGCCAGCGGAAACGCAACCGGCCGGCAGCACACACTACTAACGTTTACACTACTCTTTATTAAGAACGAGTGGAAATAAGCGCCATATAATAAAGTCTCCCCAGCTGAAAAGGTGATTATGTTCGGCGAAACGTTTTGATCTCGCGACCCACAGATTGCGAATCGAGCGCTCTAACCAACAGGCCATGTCAGGCACTGTTTTTAGTGGTTACTCGTACAGTAAATCAAGCTGAAAAACTGGTATAGTGCTCTCTGGTTCTTTAAAAATGATTTTAATGTAAACAAGAGCTTCAAGTGAGGTTTCGTGAACACGTATGTGTCGATAAAAATTAAGCAGGAAAATTTAATTCACAGTTTATACACGTTAATACTTTTCAAAAATTGTCTCACTATTCAAATAAATATAGAAATAACATATGTCTAATTCTGTAGAAATAAATTGATTTGTTTGTTTGACACTTCGCGCAGCTGCACAAAGGTTATCTGAGCATAGCCGTCATTAATTTGGAGCTTATAGAGTGAAGGAAAAGCTGTTGATCAAAAGCTCTCATCGCCAACTGTAATCCGAGAGAATAGTGGGATTTGACCGTCACTCTTATAACGCACCCGCGCCCCTAAGTGTGGAGTGTGGTTTTGAGGCAATGGGTCGCGAGCCGTAAATCCTCAGATTCACAGTGTGGCCACGCTAATCATTAGGCCACGCTCAACCCGGAGAACACAAGTCTGGTGTGTTTTATGGAGAACACAAGTCTGGTGTGTTTTATGTATAATTAAAAATAAAATTAACTCGTTTGTTAATGGTTTAAACATGTCAAAAAATAAACTTTGGCAGAGCATTAC